TTAGTAGTAGTTGTTTACTTCAACTGTATAAATAACACGTGTTAATTATCTCTGTATTACTGAGAAATAAATCAGTTCTTCTTTAGGTTTGAAACAGTCAACATCGTCTCGTTTTTACTCTCTCGTACACACATACGTCGAACCTTTTCCTACAACGACTGCCGCCCTTTAAGAAATGTTTGTGTTTTCGGTAAGCACCCTGTGCTCTCGATGTTTTAGGAGATATTGGTGGGGGCAGATCGCATTGTAATAGACAACTGGCAATTTCATCATGGCTGTCTCGATGAGCCTGCTCTCCGGAGAATGTTTCGGCGACGCCAAAGATACGGGTTTGACGCCAATGTTCCAACAATCACGCAAATGTTTATAAATTCGTCAGTAACATAATTGACCAACTAAAATGAACTTCATGGCCCTGACCGTGTAAACGCCTTATTCTAATTACGTTCCATCTCGAGAGTGGAAATCGTCTGGACATCTGTAGATGAACGAATTGAAGCGGCGGCGGCGGTTTGAAAAAATCATTTACTACATTCTTGCTTGTCTTCTCCGAGCGTACCTATTTCTCAAAAAATCATGTAGGCCATGTCTCGACCTCATCGAGTCATGAACAGAAAATAGGAAGATGCGCTTGACAGCAAAATACTTACAAGACATGTTATTCTCTAGCTGCAGTTCTGCAGCTAGTTATTCTCTCACTACAGACGCACTGGGTCTCCAGCCCGAAAAACGTACAAGAGGAGGGGGTGTCAATAGTTCGGCTCCGGTAAAATGTTGCCGTGTAAAAATATCAATCGTTTCAAAGCTAATAATGAAAACGCCAAAACATACTACAATGCAAAACGGACAGTCAGAGTAAAACAAGTGTAGTAGTAAGGTATACGTCGTGGGTAAACTTGGTTCTTATTCAGCTCGGTTCGTCCAGAGCCGAACGGAAAACCCCCTTCGATCACTTGAGAACCAATATGACGGCAACACCTCCTAGATATTTATGTTACTCAAATACCATCCCAAATCTTGGGTTTTCTGTCATGACATAACCTACAAATTCTTGAGAAATAGGTACGCTCGGAAAAGACAAGAAAGAAAGCAGCAAACGAAGTGTACCTATCACCGCTGACAAACGGTCAGGCCCATTTCTATCTGAACTCAACACCGAGATTTATCGGAGCCCATTTTTGCTGGCTCGATCCGGCGGATAAAATGTTGTTGTGTAAACGAGGTATTAGTTCCACGTATTATCTTACATCTTGGGCAAACAATGAGGTGGGTTGATTACACAAAATCCTTATGACGTCATGAATGCTGATTACCTCAGTTTGTTATCCTTCTTATCCAAGGCCTATGGTGTTTGCAAATTAGGATAATTAGTACGGTGCTCTATGGGAGTAAAATAATGTAAACAATGTAAGTTGTTTCATGGTTTCCCAGGTTGTGCACCTATTCATACAGACAACTTTTCCTAAGTATTTGAAATTACGATAGTTCGTTTCACTCAAGGATTGCACTGAAATAAAAGATAAAAAGAATACCTTCGATTATACGAAATCCCTTGAAGATTCCAAGAGACAACAAATTAATGTATACATGTTAATTTGAAATAACACATTTTATAAGCAACAATGTCTAATTTATAAATGTTTGTACTTTGAAGGCAATATACCCGAGTGTTTAAAGTGTCCGCGACTTGTCACATCGTGAGTACCATCTAGTGCATTATATCAATCTAATCAAGGGCTTGGTAGGAAGGGTTTTATATATCTTCTTAAATTCATGAACGCTAAAAGGCATTTGCGTAAGTGTAATTCTTCTCACGAAAATAACTTTAGAAGGTTGGCGGCCCGAGATAGAACTCACCAAAGGATCCTAACCATTCAGACCATGGATATACCGATTCGAAAGTATTAACTGGTATTGAATCTGGACTATTTTTTTAAATCAAATTTCCACAGACTTGTGTGTTTCATCACAGTCCCTCAACTTGTTGAGGGACTGTGGTTTCATGCATGTTGATCAGTTTTGACAGTGTGATTGTTCATCACTCTCAAACACTGTGCACTTTGTTTGAACCAGCATGTATGCATGAATAAAAGAAAGAGTCCAGGGTTTGGATAATTTGAAATGTTCCAAACCCCGGCTTTTCTAAATGTCTAAATATTCCTAAATCTATCGAAGACTAACATAGACGTGGGGCCTATTGTTTACATTGTATTAGAAATCGATGTTATTGGCCACACTGAATTTCGCATCGATGGTCAGATACAATGCGGCTACCCAAGTAACCTTAAATGCGTTTTTCACAATAGATTCTCTGTATGTTTAATGAGACATTCATGTTGTATTGCACGTAAACAGGTGGATGTGGTGTTTAGATGTACTGAACCGACCCTGTCTCCACTCTTCCATAAACATTATTATTTTAATCAGGACAAATTGAGACACACGCAGTGGTTCTCAGGGGAAGGGTACTCAGTGAACTCGGCATGTCATTTGATTATTGGCTAATACTAGATAAGTGACACTTGTAGTCCGTAAAATTGTGTACAGCGCCCCCATCATTCAAAATAAGAATCTCTTGTTTGTCCTTATGGAATTGGCCACGGAACGCAGAACCCTGAAATATGGATGAGATTGTGGATTGTTTAAAACTGTATGTTCAATATTTTCATTGAATTGCGCTTTTTCGTAAATCATTGTTCTCGTAGCACACAACACTCGCTCTATAAAACAATAACATTCGCTAACACGCATTTGTGTCAATTGTTTGGATACATAGAACAGCAATCAATATAATTGTATAAACTCTGAACATCACATGAACTTTTTCAAGTTGACGCAAGACAACATCGACATAGGATACTAGTAGGTTGGGCGTCTTACAATCGTACAATTTACGATCAATCTACGACAAATGTACCGCCATTGTTCAGTCGTGTATGTAACCCGTCGAGTTTCAATGAAAAGGAAATTATTACTCAATTGACAAAATTTCCCTCCGAATATCATTCTTGCTTTAAAACTATCGTGTTTGGCCCAGTAACCATAAATCCATAGCAGACAGACATCTAAACAATGCATAACGCCCTCTGTTCGTGTTTAAACGCAGTCGGGAGCGGGCGTAAACAGTTTAATGTACCCTCCAACCAGGGAGCTGTAATGCTCCCTGCTCCAACTGAATGTTATTGGTGATCGGTGCTGCTGGCAAATACAGGAAATGATGCATCTACGTCTGAACAGATGAATTGTGGCTAGACGTATACATTGACTCGTCTATACAGTTTAAACGGCCTATGTTGAATGGAAAAAGTAGATCTTTTCTTCAAGACTTTGTGTGTGAAATAAAATGTCATTGTTACTGTAAAGGTAGATTGACAAATCCCCTTCAGTGAGTCGGAGTCTGTATGAATAGCTGCATCTACGTTGAGTTGACATGGTGTATTTGTAACGCCTCACTGTGATCGGATATAAAACATCTGAGACATTGGCATCACCTTCGTGCTCGGCAGTGATTGAGTTCGATTGGTCCAATTACACCGGGCTTTGGTCTGATTACAAGCAACAGACAATGTACTTCCCGACAATAACGCCTCAGTGTAAACAGTTGTCATAGCGATGGTCACGTGTCTCTACCTTTCACTCACTCACTCAGTCAACCAACAACCTCCAGAAAGTAAAAAACGCATGTCTTTGTCTAGGGAGGCATTGTCAAGCTCAAATAATCGTGTGTGTAGCTCGCATGCCCGCCGCTGTTGTGTGTTAACGTTCCGTTTGGCTATCTCGCTGTACACCCTATAATTTTCGTCGTAAAACTGTCGGACCAGCCACGGATTATTCGACGCTTGTAACTATAACAGCTAGGGAAACAAAGACATATTTTATTTAATGTACGTGGAAATTGTCTGATGCCAGGGATCAGTGTGTTCCAGGAAGTTTTGCAAATGTGTAAATGTGTTGGATATTTTGACAGCAACAACATATTGTATCAAAGCCAATATACCATCATCATATAGGACGCTTTGTCTCAATCACTTCAGTTGTAGCAATATGTGGGTGACGATAGACATATCCAGTCTGAAATACCCCCGTATTTGTGCCGTATATCTAATCCTCGTCTCGGTGAGTAAAGTTTTAACACTCTCATTGTCGTAAACGCAACTCAGGCTATGTTATTGCGCTATAAGCAATTCAAACCACGGTATTGTGTTTGAATGACACTGATTCCCTGTCATATTACTACGGAGTTCTTGATTTCCAGGTGTTTGTCGAAGTACAAGGGTGGCATGATCTCGGCAACACGCTTTACCATTGCTGGCCGTTGATAAACCCCGACGATGCTAACATGGTTGATTGTCCAGGTGAGGTCCAGGTTAATTGTAAAAAAATAACATTAAATATATTGTGACTAATAATATTGTATTGAACAATGCAGCTGTTGTTAGACATTAAACTACACCAACACGTCCTCAAAACTCATACTAAATGGTTTTTAAACTTTGTTTTCGCTAAGTGAAAGTCGCCGTAGAGTATTTGACAAAGAATAGCACATTTACACTGTACTGAAATCACAACACTTCGACCCCCTGTTTAGTGGCTATTCAAAACAAACCGTCCCCATATGCACGTACCAACAAAGAATCGCCCCGGTTCCTTCTAGAAGAGTAGCTGAGAATGCCCGCATTGTATCCGTAGTGTCAGACGTGATTTATTTGCTGCGTATTCGGGTAGCAATGTCGGGTTTTATTATCGCGTTGCGATTCTGGATTGAAGAGGGAGGGGGACTGAAAGCTGGTTGTAAAAGGGCGGTTATTCCCGATCATTAACATATTTTTATTGTGTTACTCACAAACCCTGTGCAGCTGTTGGAGTTTCTATTTAAAACTGAGAACATGTTGATAAGTGAACTCTGACCAGCGTATCACCTTTTGCTGGTGTAGTCCGTTCTATAGTCGGTGTTAGTGTCGAAACCGACAAGACGTGCATTTCGAGTACATACTATAACGCTTGGTCATATTTTACGTGTACACCGCCAGGGTCCCCAATCGTACGCACCGCCATTGCTCATACCATGTGAACACAACTATACCATTACGACCAGGTTCCAGTAGAGTGTTCCCGTGAAATATATGTTTTATTGCGCAAAAGAGCGTAAACAAGCAATGAATCGTGTATATGTATAGATGTAATGAGAGACTAAATAGTCTTTATACGATGGAACACACGTAGATTGACGTACGTGATTTATTGAAGGCTTCATGCATGACTGATTTCCCAATTTTAAGATATCAAGTCCGAAAGACCAGCCTTCTTCAACTTTACCCCTCACTCACAGTCTATAGGCGTAGCGTAGCAATTAAGCAAACCGTTTAATTTCCACACACGTCAATGCAAATGTGAAAATATAGACGCCATGGGGTCTATGGTAATATACTATTAGTATGTTCAGTGATAAGTGCGTGAAATGGACGATAAATCTGTATTTTCTTTTGAGTAACCAAAGCTCGTTTATTTATGTTTTCCCCTTCCAGGATTCTCAATGGAATGGATTGATGTGCCAAACACTGTAGTCAGCGAAGATAGTTTTAACGTTTCTTACCGCATAAACGCCAATGACATTTTTTTTGATTGGTCGGTGTTAAATAACTCGGACTATGCCGTCCAATATGGCAGTGTATTTCCTTTTAGGTAAGTATACGTGTCGTGTTTATTATTTCAACATATAATTCCATGTTTGAACCGAGTTTTTAAAGTAGTCAGGTCACGCGCTTGTCCCACGAACATTCACCACTGAAATGTGAAGCTATAGTTTCGTGAGGTCAAAAAAAGAGCAAATGTATAAACAAAAATATATTGACTGGAAACAATTAAGCCTGTTTGGTAGTCTAGGAAATAATTGTTGTTTATAATTGCCTCTATTGAAACAAAAAGTAATTTAATGATATAACAGTAGACAATACTTTCACTTATAAGTTGGTGGAGATGTACTCACGGGAAACGTCCTGCAAGGTCAGGGTCAAGGACGAGGTTCAGGTTTATTGGCCATGTATTGTTTAAAGAAGTTCCAAAACTCAACAATGGTATCAAGTTCTGGAGTTATCGCTGTTACTTGTACTTCTAAAAAACAGCCACAACTTGTTTTCCTATTTACTGAACAGCTGATACCAGTAGACGGTGTACAAAACATTTTACTACTATTTTATTACTAGTATATAGCTTTAGATAAGTTGATCTCAGGGAAAATGAGTTTCATAAGATTCACATAATACAGGTCTCTAAACCAAACTAAAGGAAATAACATGTACTTATAATGTAAGTGTGTTGGTGACACATAGCCTGGGTAATTAGCAGGTTGCAAGCAACTACTCAGATCTACACGTACGGGCTCGTACACATGTCACAATCTCGCACATCAAAGCCACAACTAACAAATATCTCTACGATATGCAACTAAATACTCAGGTATGCGTCGTACGTCATTATATGTTCATCTTACAAATTAACATTAGTGTAATACTAGTATATTTATATGTCAAGCTATGAGAACAGCCTTAGGGCTGAGCCATTGATTCTGTTGGTGGTGGGAAGGGACACACCCATGCGACTGTTGGTGGTGGGAAGGGACAAACCCATGCAACTGTTTGTGGTGGGAAGGGACAAACCCATGCAACTGATGGTGGTGGGAAGGGACAAACCCATGCAACTGATGGTGGCGGGGAGGGACAATCCATGTAATCTGAGGGTTGCGGGGATGAAAAGTACATGAAATCTGTGGGTTGCGAGAAAGGACAACCCATGTAATCTGTGGGTTGCGGGGAAGGACAAACCCATGGAATGTGTGGGTGGTGGGGAGGGATAAACCCATGCAATCTGTGGGTTGCGGGGAAATACAAACCCATGCACTGTGTGGGTGGCGGGGAGAGAAACAAACATGCAATGTGTGGGTCGGTGGCGGGGAGGGGCAACCCCATGTAGTTTGTGGGTTGCGGGGAGGGATAGACCCATGCAATCTGTGGGTGGCGGGGAGGGACAAACCCATGCAATCTGTGGGTGACGGGGAGAGACAAACCCATGCAATATGTGGATGGTGGGAGAGACAACCCCATGCAACCTGTTATTGACGGGGAGACAAACCCATGCAATCTGTGGGTGACGGGGAGAGACAAACCCATGCAATCTGTTGGTGACGGGGAGAGACAAACCCATGCAATCTGTTGGTGACGGGGAGAGACAAACCCATGCAATCTGTTGGTGACGGGAAGGGACAAACCCATACAATCTGTTGGTGACGGGGAGAGACAACCCCATGCAACCTGTTATTGACGGGGAGACAAACCCATGCAATCTGTGGGTGACGGGGAGAGACAAACCCATGCAACCTGTTATTGACGGGGAGACAAACCCATGCAATCTGTGGGTGACGGGGAGAGACAAACCCATGCAATCTGTTGGTGACGGGGAGAGACAAACCCATGCAATCTGTTGGTGACGGGGAGAGACAAACCCATGCAATCTGTTGGTGACGGGGAGAGACAAACCCATGCAATCTGTGGGTGGCGAGAAGGGAAAGCCCCATTCAAACTGTGGGTTTTCTAACCGAAACGATTAGAGGGAAACAGTCAGAACATATGATATTGAACAAAAATAGTGATCCAGAACCCCCCCCCCCCCCCGCCAATCACTGATGATGCCCTAATGTGAGCTGTTTACGTGCACCTTGCCACGCACGAAACCAACACAATGAAAGTAAGATTTAATTGTTAAATGTATCCCCTTGTACACCCTGGAAACTATCCGAAAACTGAGCTTGTCCAATAACATGCGCGGTTGTACCAGTTCATTTTCTGTTGATTTTTCTTTGGATATGACGTCATACCTGACCGTATTTACTTGACCCAAAAAATAAAAATGTATAATTTTGAAGGAAATCGGAAAATAACAAAAACTTGACGATGTTGAAGCAGGGTATTCTATTAAAATGACATCAAAGTATTATTTGTTATTTGCATGCATCCCTCGAAAGGATGGAAAAAGTGACATTATATTATAATACACAAAGAAACAAACAATATGTACAGATATGGATCACCAATTACTTCTAATTCATTTCCATAGTTAATATAAAAACATTCTTGACATACGGCGGGGTTTTGAGGTAGGTTGTAGCAATTGTAGGTGAAGATTGTAAATCGTGAAAGAAGGTATTAATCTTTCGACAAAATTTAACTTTGAATTCATTTTGTACTTGACGTTGTTTTAACTGAGTATTGTGTGAGAATGAATGTCACGGTGCATGTACGAAGTAATAGCCCTGGTCCAAAAGGTGGTTGCCAATGTGAGAAGAGAACTTATGACGTATATGTTCTATGATGTCATAATTGTTCAATCACGTAATTGGTTAACACCGATCAAATGCACATCAGTTTCACCCCATGAATATTCGATAATAAATAAATTAATAATTAATAATAATAACTAATAATAATAATAATACATGTTATTGATATGTACTAGTATATCTTTAAAAAATATATTAGTTGCGAAGCATAGACGAATGAGTTACCTAAACTCACGTCACGGTGACTTACATGGAACATCGACGCGATGGTTGTTGTGCTCGGCTCCGTCTCACATATACATACACCGCCAACCAGAACATGTTTTACGAGGACGTTGATTCGAGAATGTGTCATCGTATTGCACGTGTTTAGGAATGTTGATGCAAAGAGGGCGAAGTTTGTAATCCTGGTAGACATACAGTGTACAGTTCATACGTGTATTCATAAAATGCACGTACACAGTAAATGTTTTGACTCATACCCCACATACCACATAATGCATGTCTTCAACCTGTTATAACAACTACGATCACAAATATTCTACTCTGTTCTGTTTACAGCTCCGGGGCGGAAGCCAAACATTTCTGTGCAACTACGGATTGTCCTGCACCCAACATAGCCGGTGTGGATAATTGCTGTTTACATCACATCAATATCCACTCCTGTCCACAGGAAAGCGTAAGTGTATACATATTACTCAAATAGATGTTCGCCACTCGTTCTTCATATTCTTGTGTAAACGGAAACTAGATATATGTAGATATAAAAACAATGTAAGGTTTGCCTTGAACATCTATCATATTATGACTAGCAAGCTTATAGGAGACACTGTTGTATTATCATGTTCAACTTCGAGTTCGTGGAACAGTTGTTGTCGTCGATGATAGACTGTTCACGTCTTTTAGTGTCACGTGATATTTTTCAGTGTACGTTATTCAATTCACAATTTTGTTTAACTTAGTTCGCAGTTGATCATTAATAAATAACTACATTTGTATTTATGACGTCATGACTTGTCTGGAACCGTTAATTTTTGATTAACTGTGAAATATATACATGTTGTCACGTGTGAACCGTGGAGAAGGTAAATTTCTCTCGTTTAAAATAGAAATGACCTTGCCCATGTATATATTGTGCACATTTTTATATCACACTTGAATCTAAATTACTGTTTTACATTGTAATGAAGTGGCTGCTTTTATTGTATGCCTTGCACCTTAGCATTGTTTCTTTGATGGCTAACCGGTACTGTCTATTGTTAAAAGTTACTGATGCAGGGAACGTAAAATATTTAATATAATCTCGCGTCATTATCGGTGAATAGTTGCATTTCTTGTTTATTTCACTAACCGGTCGAGTCAAACAACTATTTAAATAGAAACACATGCTTGTGAGTGCAATATCATTATCTGTTGCCTGTCCAAGGGATGTTGGTCATGACATTGCCCAAATGACCACGTGTTAGTTATTTTTTATCACATCTGTCACTCGTATATTTGTCATCTTTGTAAGGACAGGGAGGGGGTCTGTTTTTATTACGGGGTGTAGATAATGTACCCGGGGTAGTCATTGGTTATGAACATCTACAGACTTGTATTACCCGTCATTATGTTTTTACATACTAGTACTTATCACGGCGTATGGCATGGATTTATTGGTTTTCTATAAAAAGGTAGATCACAGCCATTGTATCGATTATAGCTGTATTGATCCAGAGTACCTGCGTATATGAGCTGGATGGTTTGATGCATCGTTATCGATCTAGTTCCGGGTTATGGGCATGGAAACAGAACTATTTATCACGACATCAAACTGCATGCGATGGTATACCGTATCGTTCTAAGCCCCATCCAGTGACGGAGAGGCTTGAAATGTCCTTTTATCACTACAACAAACGTTTGGTGGTGGGTTGTATCGCTTTTAGCTCCGTGCAGTAACGGAAAGGGTCGATATGTGCTGACATCGATATACTAAGTGCGTACTATGATCGCTACTTGAATACGTATAGTGGATTGGGCACATTGGTGTGTCGATATTACGTGTTGTCAGAACAAAATAACTGGAAATTCCACCCACAACTAGAACATCTATATTCCCAATACGAAAAAAATTGTCCTTTCGTCACCGTTCAACACCGACCCTCACCCTGGCGACCCACTCCTCACCGTCGTTACGTATTTTGCTGGAGGAATCACCAAACATCGATAAACACTGTCATTGAAATGCACATCCTTTGGCCCATTCTCTTGCAGTGATTTATGCACCTGAATACAGATAGCGAATGAAGTGTTTAGTTTAGTTGCCCTTGGTTACCATAGCAATGTGCGTAGAAACTGACAATTATGTTCTGGAATCTAAGAACATTTATCAGTACATCATTAAAATAACAGTTAAATACAAGTAGACATGTTCACATTTTCCTTTCAAAACATAGATCACGTGATGAAGGGACTGTGATTTAGGCTTTTGTTATGCTATCCCAACTTTGAGAAAAATCATCGTCTGCTAGCTTCACCTTTGTTGTCAAAACTGCGTGGACAGTTGATAGTTTTTAGTGTTTTCTTTTTAAACAGTGTTAACAAGTTCAATTAGTTTTTATGAGATCGAAGGTACCAACTAAATAACAGCGTTGCAGAACAGTTGTAATAAATTTAAAAATGTATTACCAATAATAATATTTGTTGTTGATAAATCACTTGCGATGCTGCGTAGAACTGACTGGTGGTTACTGTAAAATTTGTATTACGAACCACGGCTTCAATTAAAATGGTACAATACAACAGAAGAGATGCGGTTTCTATTGGATCATCTAATTTGGTGAATTTTTAGTGAAAAAAATGAATGCAACTTCTATTAGAGATGCGGCTTCTAATAGGAATTTCACCTGTTGAACCCTTGTAGTAGTTCACAGAACACGTGGTGCAGTTTATTTGCATTTTCTCAAATTAGTACAAAACCTGTGAGAATAATACTATAAAACCATTTATATTCATTGGCATTTAATTTCACTATTTTGATGGTTTGAGCAATTTCAATGAGTTTTAAGTTCACGAACCTTGTAGGGAAACAATGCTCAGGTTCAGGATCCCGTGTGATTGATTTACAGTCAGTATGATGATATTAATCCACGGCCTTCTACTACTCAGATAACATAATAGTATCAATATAACATTTAATTGACATAACACGGACACGGAAAGGCACAGCAGTATGGTCTCAAAAACTAAAAATAAGACAAACAAAATACAACAATAAGATTGATAACATTATAAAAAATAAGAAGTAAAGGTGAAATATTTCAGAAGAATATAGCATTTGGACATAACAAGGAAGATTATTTAAATTAATTAATTATTGTGTTTTGTTTGTACTTTCCTAACATGATATTAAGAAATGAACTCATGATTGTGAAGAATTTGTTCTTTTTAGTCAAACCGATGGAAATTTGAGTTACTTTTGTCGAAAAGTATCTCTTTTGCATGACATTACGAAATGAGTCTCAATAACTTCAATAACAGTAAACCGTATAACTCGTAAAATTTGTTTTCAATCAGAGTTTTAGGTTTTGTATGCCTTTCCATTTCAATTTTGAGACAGTGATTGCCGAGTCTCAATTAACTCAACTGTTCTGTCAATTCGATGTTCTCGATATCAATCAGGTATTTTTCCAGTCTAGATATTGTTTTGGCATCTCTGTTTTCTCTGATGTCAATTCGATGTTCTCGATATCAATCAGGTATTTTTCCAGTCTAGATATTGTTTTGGCATCTCTGTTTTCTCTGATGCTATTCTTATTGTCACCATAGATATAATTTTTCAGTGTTAATATTTTTTGATTGGGTGATATTAGCAAGTTTGGTGTCCACCTCCTCGTAATATTTACTGTTAATTGGTTAAATCTGCAGATTCTTTCAGAAGGGTATTGTTTGTATTGATTATGCGATTGTAATATTTGATCATGTGTCTCTTGAAGAGTTTATCTAATGGGTATTTGTCGAGTCTTTCGTAAATGCCAATTTTTGGATAAACCGGCAGTAGCTTAGATGTACATCTTCTGTGGAAGATTTGTAATTACTTTGATCTTCCCCAGGTAAACTGCCATAATCTAATTTTGGTCGAATCAGCTTATCGAATAGTGATGAAAAGTGGTTATTTTTACATTTTGTTTATATCCTATACTTTCTTTAATTGAGAACATGGCCTTTTGGCGTTTTCATTTTAAGTTAATTGTTTCCTTTGGGATTCAGTACAATCCCGAGATAATTAAAAAAAATGGTGTTATCTGAAAGTGACGACTCCGTGAATTAACGCGGAAGGGCAGTACGCCAATTTTGGGGCCGTATGGAGACGACGTCTTTATGCCGCGTACACATATTGCCAATCCTGTCGGGTCTATTGTATTGGTGTTAGAAAGATATTTGTATAAGGTGCCTCGCGTATGGTGCCTGGATATGGTGCCCCGGGTACGATGCCCCGGATATAGTTCCCTGCGTATGGTGTCCCGCATATGGTGCCCCGGATATAGTTCCCTGCGTCTGGTGCCCGGATATAGTGCCCCGCGTATGGTGCCTGGATACGATGCCCGGATATGGTGCCCCGTGTATAGTCGGTTTGTATAGTGCTGCACTTGGGCACAGTATGAAAGTATGCAGAAAATCTAGTGTATAATTTGTCTAAAATTGAGGAAGATGTGATTTTATCAGCCGATATCCTACACTGGAATCTCGTAACCTTGTCCAGTCATTACTCGGTATTTATTTGTGGAAGGAATAGTACAATCAGCCAATATTCTACACTTTATAAAATAAATATATTAATATCCTGGCTTAGTAATCTATACCACACATCTGTATCCATTCCTAGCTGTTCACCGCCTTGATACAATCATATCAATCGAAATACACGCTGATGAATACATGTCTGAAAATCAAATCAGTTACACAGCCCCATGCGCACACAGCTGTATATTCGTTGATTTTGTTGCAACCTACAAAAATGTAATGCTATTCATAGTTATAAATATTCCATTTAATCATGACATGTTGTGTACAATAGTTCCCAGCATGCAATTCGATGTATAACTGTAATTACCAAACATTTATCATAATTAACCTAATTTCTCGTGAAGGAGTTCGTCTGTATACATCAGAAACGCGATATTCACACTTCAATCATCTCAGGTGTGAATGTCTGTTTGTCGGCAATCAACGAATACTTGATGACAATGAGACTGTCTAAAGTTATTAAATTGAAATGTTCGGGTTATCTGGGTGAAATGCTTTCGTCATAGTTCATCGTTTCCTCTTTGTAACCTGTTACAACCCCTACACAATAGATGTAAGAGCATGAACATTTCTAGGCGTGTACCATGGCGACGTATTCAATCTTCAGTTTTTAAGAGTATTTGTTGTTGAGTTCCTATCAAATAAAACCGCTATTCAGTCGAATCTGTCACTGCACTAGATAGCTGCGATGAAGACATGACTGCAATAAATAATAGGGGAATATACAGCTATTATTATACTAGATAACTGTGACGAAGACATCCCTGTTGTCACGGTAACCATGCTGCAGTATATAGCGGCGAATACATTACGGGATAAGCAGAACAGCGTCTCACAAATGATTAGTTTGATTAACCACAGTCCTTCAACAGGGTGTTGAGGGACTGTGGATTA